TATATATATATATATATATCGCTGTAGTTAGAAATATATTAAAAGATATATCAAACCTTGTGGGTTTTGGCTTTATCACTTTAGTGTGTCTTTGAATGAACCTAAAGAAGTTTGAAAATAAATATAACTGTTTTAATTATAACTAACAGGGCCACATATTCATCAGTGTGGATCTGACTCTAGGGACATTGACAGGATAAAATGAAGATGGACTCTGTGGGAAAGCTGCTTGTGTCCCTGCAGCTTGTATGTTGACCATTGTCTGCGTTTCACTTCCTTCATATAGTAGCGGTGTAAAATGAACATATCTCCTCATATGGTGAGACCTCAGGGTGAAACTGAGGCTCTCAGTGTTGCTAAAATATTCTCAAACTTCTACATTGTTTCACACGTCTATTTTCTCATGCAACTAAAGAACAGAATTCACTCAGTCAGCTTCATTGTTTTAATGAAGTTGACTGTAAGTGAATTATGACATCACACAAAAGCTTTCTCCAATTTATTTCACCACTTTGTAAGTGGTGCTAATGAATAATTACGATTAATAATTCAATTTTTAAAAAAGCGTTAACTTTGTTATATTTATATGTTAGCTGTTTTTTTTAAGGTAAAATGCAGTTCAAATCTAATTTTTATACAGTGCACATAACTCAACTTACTGTCAAACAAGAGGACCTTTATATGACTATGATTGAATCTATGGAAATACTGTATGTCAAAAACAGAAATATGTATTTCTGCACTTAAAAATAGGTCAAACAGAATCATTAGTTATGATTTTGCACTAGAAATGATGCTATGAAGAAGAGAGATCCTATTGCTATGTAAACAATATAACGACATTACTTTTAACGTCTGGACAAACATATTGGTAGGTGTGAGGTTTCTCTCTACTGGTTCATAAAGGGATTGCATTCAAGCTTTTACACTTTTACACTTTAACAGGAAAGGATCAGCACTAGTTACTTTGGTTGAGATTGCAGGAGCTTTTTAGGTTAATTTGTCCAGTAGCTGTAGATTTAATTATGTCATGGCATTGAATTTGCCCTTTTCTGTGCTACTATAGGCAATAAATTGGACAGAAATATTTCAGCAGGCAAAAATGGTTAAATTATATATAAAATAACAGAGAAATTCTTCAATGTAAAGTAAAAAAGGCAATGAGTTTCATTATTTGAGACGCAACTGTTGGTCTGTTCTTTAGTTTTGTTCTTTGGTGTCAACATAAATCTTCTTGTTCTGTACTTTTGTCATGTAAACACATTATGCTATCATGGCACTTTATGGGTTTTTATGTCATGAAAAGAATTTTGAGCTTGCTTTGACTGAAATGTTGAGAATCTGTTTAATTGTAATTTTTTTCACATCAAATTCCTACATGCCAAAAGCATATTTTGTAATTTTGTGTATATTCTTCATTAATCAAAGATTTTAAATATGAAATGAAACACTATAACACAGGGTGTGTGTAAATACTTAGTGCCCAGCACACCTGCTTATCTGACCATTTCTGTTTGGCAGAGGTTTACAGTGTTTTATTTCTATTTATTTATTTTATTTTAGAGAGAGTTTAGAGATTAAAAATACAAAACCATAATTGATCTTATACTTATTCTGTCACCTAAACACATTTCTGTGATTGAAAACTTTTTCCTAAAAGTGGAAATTTTAGGAATTAAATACAGTCTTAAAACCTTGTAGTATACATGAAAAATGGTTTCCTCCATTATTCTCAGTCCGTCCCCCCGATTCTTTTTTTCTTGACAGATGCTGAGCTCTCTTCTGGAAAAACAGAGTAGTGATGAGTTAATGATTGATTTAGTCTCTTTGAGATCATTCTCCTGCTTTGGAAAAACACTCTTCCACAAGGTTCTAATCAGGTAGGAATACATAAACAAAACAAAGTAATAAAAATAAACAAACAAAAAAAAGGAACACATAAACACGAGAAAGAAAAAACATATACCTTGTTTGACGTTATGGGATCAAAACGATTGTAGCCTGGAGAAAGTTTCCTTCAGTTCAGCAGCACACGCCTTAAGCATCCTAGGACACACCTTGTCTGGGCCTGCTGCCTTTCTGGGGCGAAGCTTCCTCAGTTGCTTCTGACCTGATCCACTGTGACACTGGGAGATGTTTGGGAGGAGGGGAGGGGGGGAGATGTCTTGCTGCTGAGAGAGGGATTGGAGGAGGGGGGTGTCATGGTGTCAGGAAGGGGGGGAAGCGAGGGAGGCAGGAGAGTGGGGAGAGGACTCTGTAGTGAAGGTGAGGGTGAGGGTGGGGGGGTTGTGGGCTGGTCAAACCTGTTGAAGAAGTTGTTGAGTTCGTTTGCCTTCTCCACAGTCCCCCCCACTGTGCTAGTGATGAAACATTCACAGAGAGTTGGGGAATGGCTGCAATCATAGAATTGTAAGATGGTGAAAGACGTAGTCTTAAGTCTCCACAGCTGATTGCTCCTTTTTTTACATGAATGGCCTCTTTGACTCCCTCCTGAAACCAGTGTTTCTAAGAGTACATCTTTCACCATCTGTAATGATAGACCTGACACACTGGTATGTTTGAATGCTTGGAGAGTGTTTATTAAGGCACCACAAACATATGGCTGGACGTTTCTGTACACAGTTCATTAACTTCCCAGTCAGTCGTCAGTGCATGCTCCTCCCTCAGGTCTCCAGCTTCACTATATATAAAGGGAGAAACCTCATTAGTTAAATAACCGCCACTTGTCCCTCCAGCCTCCTTGGCACTGCCCCCTTGAGCTCACTGCCCCACCCCTCCCCTGCAGCTGAGCCAGGGACCACACCTCTGCCACACCATCTTACAATGCTGTGATGATTGCAGCAGTTCCCAACTCTCCGTGAATAGTACTCATGGCAGTTGATCAGTGCTCATAATACTGGGCGTTTGGCTTAGGCAATGGGGTTAATTTCGGTCATTATGTAACTGTACTATTTATAAGGTAGGAAACATTTAGTCAGCTGAGAATGAAGAAGTCACTTGGATGAGCGATGAGATGTTTCTCTCATTGGAATTTAATTTTGGCAACAATAACAACCACTCAAACCAACAGTCATCCTAAAAAACAATCCTTAATTCTTTTTTTATGTTCAAAGCTGTTCAAAAGTGTCTGCTTCCCTCGTGGATGTAAATATGATGTATTAGATACTAAAACAAATTAAAAACTAAATTAAAATAAGATATAACAAGAATTCACTTTAGATGAGATATAAACATGACTGCTGTTAAACTGCACTAAACTAAACTTTATTAGTCTACTGCCATCATGGGAAGGACAGTGTTATTTTGTTACAGATGTTGAAAATAGTCCAATGACAGTATGAGTAATGATAAAAAAAAAGTCTGTGGAAGCTGTGTGAGGTTCCTTTTATTTCTGCTAAGTAATGAAGATGTTAGTTTTGCTTCTGTTTTTAATGTGATGAGCTTTTAAAAAGAGGCTGATCAGGAGCCATTTCTGACTATTAACTGCTGTCTGCACGTCATCAAACAATGAAAGCAGTGGTTGGATTTATGGTGATTCTACTGGGGGTGTCTCATGGTAAGCTGTTCTGGGTTTTTCATGTGGCATTTTATTAAAAATGATAACTATATTATTAGTTGTCATTTTTTCTTGATTTTCTTGATCACCAATGCGTTTTGAAGCAATACGATTTTTTAAAAATCAGTACATAAAGTTGGACATTGTCCTTAGGGGCGTTAAAGGAACTGTACTAATACTTGAAAAAAAATGCTCTTGCATTTCTTTTCTTTTTTTCTTTTTTGGCTACATATTTAATTTGTGAACATTTGAGCAGAGCTTTAGTTTGTTTTTTATCCAGTGACTCTGGAAAAAAAGGAGAGTAGCAACTTTGCTCACTATAATGGTCTTCCACAGACATGATTTCAGTGTTGTTGTTTTAAGTGCCAACACATTGTACAGTGGAGCATCTGTTTAACTGTTTTTCTTAGTTATTCACCTAATAACTAACATTTCTAACAGTAATGTTAAAAACATACTGTTAAAAACATAATGTTAAAAACATTACTGTGTTAACTTTGTGAGTATATTATCGATTAAATGTGTGCTCTTGAGGCTCTATTACCTGCACCTACTCAGAGTGAAATAATCAGAGCTTATGTACTCATGGCAGTAGTGTTATTAAAAATAATTTGATACATTTCATAATTTTATACACAGCTAATCAAAACACAAAAAATCACAAATGTTTTTCTTTTTTATGTTTCAAACTTTGCAGGTGTGGAAACTCACTGTGATGGCAGACACGATGGAGCTCAGTGTTATGGAGCTTTGGGAGGAACTGTGGACATCCAGCTGATGGACAGCACCTCAGAAATATCTAGATACCAACTGTTAAAGAATTCATTAAAAATACTAGATGTGAGAGAGAAAATGATTCTCTCTAATACCATAGTACATAGATCTGTCTTTTTTCCTAGTAATGGAACATTTAGGATCACTAACCTGAGCAGGACAGACAGTGGTGATTATACCCTTCAAACCTTTGATTCAGATGGAAAATCATCAGGTGTGCAGATTTTGCAGTTGTTTTTTCAAGGTAAATGTTGTGATAATAAGTGATTAATAGATGCAAATTATACATTGTTTTTGTAATCTATATATCTCACAACATTTCTGATACATATAGTTTGTGCATTCCCTGTTCTCTATTGGGAGAGTATAAGTAATGATCTGCAAACTTTACAGTTGTTTATTCAAGATAATTTTTTTCACCTATTGGGAAATAACAGCAACCAATTTAACATTGTTTTGGTAATCTATATATCATCATTATATCCACAGATTCTGATGTAAAATCTAAATTCATCTGTGTGTTTCTCTCAGCTCCTGTGTCCTCTGTCCTGTTGGTCTCTGAGTGTCTGTCCCAGGGAGAGAGGAGGGTGTCCTGTTCCTCTGAGGGAGGGGACAGTCCTCAGTACAGCTGGACTCTGGATGGACGCACACTGACAGATGCTGAGATCCTTTCTGGAAATATGAAGACTAACGTCATCACTCTGAAGCAGCACGTCTCAGGACATCTGGCCTGCTCCGTCAAAAACCTCGTTAGTAAAGTCTCCAAAGAACAGAGGCTATCTACCTGTGGTGAGTGAAAAAGGTGATAATTACAACTTTGACAATTATATTACTTTTAAATTTGTGAGAAATTGTCTTTTTTTTGCTCATAGGCTTCATTTTCATCAACTGCACTTCAGTCAATGGGACACAAGTATCAGGGTGGGTGTATGAAGCCAATAACATCCTGTGCATTGAACCAACAACTGAACCTTCCACAACCCCACAAACTGCAGTAGGTAAGAGGAATGACCCATGGTACAGGGGAAACTGAAAAAACAGCTAGATCCATTGATGTCATTTTCTCCTTTCTTCATTTCACGTTTATTGACTTAATCGTGCATTTTTTTTATGTCTTCTTTCTAAGAAATAGGACATTTGCCACTGATCAGTGGTGTTCTCTCAACACTTATAATTTTCTTAGTTGTAGTTGTAGCAGCAGTCTGTGCTCAACGGAAAAAGCAAAACAGCAAAACAAAAGGTACAAAACTTATTTTCCCTTACTTTAGTCAAATTGCTTTTTTTTGTTTTTATAAATGTACTATATCTCTGTTATATGTCACTTAAATATTGTTAAGCAGCCACAGTTAACTGTAAAATGAAAAGAACTCAACAGCTTAACAAAATCTACCATAAAGTTTAAAGCTCAAAAATGAACTTTCATACAAAGTGCAACTATTCCGTTAATTATTTGTTGATTATTTTTAAAGCGACCCCTTCTTCCTACTCTGCAGAGGAAGAAAATGATCAGGAAGAAATCTTTGCTGATCTCAGGGTCGTGAAACAGCAGGCGAAACAACTGGAGAAAAGAGCGGAGCTAGAGTTCTGCCGAGTCAAGTGCTCAAAGCGTCCTCGGCAGACTGAACCAACAATAGATGATTGTTTGTATGTTAACGTCCATAAATTCAGGTGATTTAAGTGTTCAGTGCTTCTACACAGACTGCATCACTAAAGATCCATGGAGAGAAGAGCTGATGTTAAAATGCCTGAAGGTCTTTTATTTAATGTGATTTCCCACCAGAAAAATGTAAAAAAAGCTAATACTGACTGATTTATTGTATTTTCATCTGCATTATACCAGAACACATGTATTCTTTTATGATCTCTTGATTTAAAGATAGTATCTTATATAAACACTGCGAGTGTTTTCTGCTTTTGTATTCTGCAGACGCTCTGATAGAACATGTTTATTTAGGAGTTTTTCTTTTTTCATGTGAACTTGACAAGTTTTTGACTTGGTAGAAGTTGCACCAGATGATCCAAAATGGATATTTATTCAATATCCATTTAAATAAAGTAAATGGATATAAGTTTATACAAATTTCAGTGCAGCAAAACCTTTAGACAGTGATTAAACATCCAGATATCAACATTTTACCTTTGGTCAATACATTTCCTCACAGATGTCTTACAAGAGACGCTGATATTCAGAAGACATTCTCAAGGGAAAGGTGTGTGAGTCACCATCTTTGTATTTGCTGCCATTTGGAGAATCACTTGAAAGAGGCTGTGAGGTTTGCTATATGGCAAAGCAGGACTCAAACGGACTTAATGGACAATTAATTTATTTAGAAGCTTCAAAATGTGCAACCAACAATCCCAAAACTCAATACACAGCCTCAATGATCCAAATTCCAAGATGCCAATGATTCGCTTCAACAGGCTGCTCTCCACAGGTTTCTTTGCACAAGAGGGGAGGTGGTAAGTTTCTTCACAAGATAACAAGAAGCACAACAAACCAGCACAAGACCCGGAGTTACACTAACTGAAATTCCCCAATGATCCAGCAAAGACTGAATAGCTCAGGTAGTGACTCTTGAGAAGCTTTAATAAGGAGACCCGATGATATCTCTTGAGGTGGTCTTTGGACTATATAAATAAAACAAAAACCTATTGAAACAAATTATGATAGTACAAAAAAAAAAG